TTAAGCTATGTTTTTTATTTTGGTTAAAGTTTACTTTATTTCAAGATAACTAAAATGTTTTTTTTTTATATATATAATTAACTATTATAACCCATACATTACCCAATTTGTTATATACCAGAAGCACAAATCATCCACCAAATCCATCAGTTCTGATGTACCTCAAGGTTCTGTCTTGGGCCCTCTTCTTTTCACTATTTATATGTTACCAATTGAACAAATAATCAAACGCTATGGGATTTAATTTCCACTGTTATGCTGATGACATTCAGATTAATTTTAGCACACCCTCCACCTCAGTGTTTCCTCCGCCTACATTAACAACTTGTATCAAGGAACTCAAGCTTTTGCTAGAGGCAAATTACCTTAAATTTAACTCCGGTAAAATGTAGGTAATACTGATTGGCTCTGTTGTATCTAAATTATCCTGTCAACTGATAGATTTGGATGGTGATTTGATAATGCCCTCCACGACAGTTCGAAATCTTGGTGTTCTGATCGATTCCACTCTTTCATTTAATGATTACATTGGTAAAGACAGCTTTTTTCCACCTACGTAATATCTCTCGTATTCGATCCTCTCTCAGACAAAAGGATGCTGAAACTGTAATACATGCCTTCGTAACATCTCAACTAAATTACTGTAACTCACTTCTTTATGGCCTTTCAGCTAAAAATATCAAACGATTACAACATGTTCAAAACTCTGCAGCCCGCTTTATCACTCACACAAGAAAGAACTAGCACATTACTCCAATCTTTCAGTGTTGTGGCTCCCAGGTTGTGGAATGCTCTTCCTCAAGACATCCATCAAGCATCCCTTGTCTCCTTCAAAAACACGTTTTTTTCTCTGAATATTACTCTTCAGTTCTCTGTCTGTAAATTTTACTTTGTTATGGATATGTTATTTATTTGAATCCCTCTTTGTTTGTATCTCTAACCTAACTTTGTAAGCGACCTCTGTATATTACTTTCAGCCCTTGGTATATGTATTGTGCCTTGATGTTTATTTGGCTCTGTTCCTTATTCGTCTCTGTAAAGCAACTTTGGGTGTTGGAATGGCGCTATATAAATAAAAATTATATATATATATATATAATACAACTTTTAATATTTTATATCAAATATTATTAGATAATATTTTTAACCGTGTCTCTCTTTCACTGTTTATATAAACAAGCATCTGTGAACTCTGTCTATTCATCCATATATTCATCATTCCCATATATAATTTCTTTCTATGCATCCTTAGTCTATATCAGTCTAAAAGTATCCTTCATGCACCTCAAGTTTTTCCCCTAAAATTACCACACAAAGCAAAGTTTCAACATCTGCAGCCTAAAATACAACATTTACTGACGATTTCATCCAGTATCATGTATCAATGCCAGTTATATTTGTTATGATATGCTATTAATTCATCACTTTATTAATTCCGGGGAAATGTTTTAACAAAAGCATGTATTACATGACACAAGTCCTCTTAGATTTTGTTCTCGTTTGTAACAAAATAACAATATTTACACTGTTTGAGGAAAAACACAAAACATTTTATGTTGCAGTCAGTCAGTCATCCTCTCAGCATTAGCAGCGGCGCTACTGCTAACAACATCCGCTCAGATACTCGCCTGCTAATAACAAATAGTCGAGCTTCCGGTCCTGGAGTGCGGTCCTTCCCTTTGACAGATGCCTCTCCCTCTGCAATCGCCTGCTCGTTGAGGCCAACATACAAAAACATCAAAGTATGCAGTGAAAACCGATGTCAGAATAGGAGTTGCATGCTTCCTCTGTAGACTCACAGGGATTCTTAATGTGCGCTAGATAGTGTGCGACTGGATGAATGTTTCTCCAGTGTTGTCATCTCACTCGATTATTTTTCAATAAAACTCCTCCCTCTCACACATATGGCAAGCGTCACCTCAGAACTTATTTTCAATCCTTCAAATTGTTTCTGTATATGACTAAACCCAAGTCATTCCACTGCATGCCCTGCTGAACTTTAGCTCATTTAGCTTGATTGGCAATATCGAATGAAGAACTATACAATACGACAGAGTTGTGTACAGAAAATATTTCACCAATGATTGAGAGCTGTCATATCTATATCCGAGTCATATGCAATACACGGGCAACCGGTAAGGAACAGCATGATGTTCATATGTGTGAGATGAGGTCCAGAAAACTGTTTGACATTTTTGTCAGTGTTTGCAAACCATTAGTCATAGGAAAACCCAGAGGCTTGAAATATTCTATGACAATTAACATTTCTTATTGAGTTGAGTGTGAATGTTTTTGTGTTCAGTCTTTTACACTTCAAATATATACAGTAGATAGATAGATAAATAGATAGATAGATAGATAGATAGATAGACAGACAGACAGAGAGATAGACAGATATATAGACAGACAGACAGACAGACAGACAGACAGATAGATAGATAGATAGATAGACAGAGAGATAGACAGATATATAGACAGACAGACAGACAGACAGACAGACAGACAGACATACATACGGATGGACGGATGGACGGACGGACGGATGGATAGATAGACAGACAGACAGACAGACAGATAGATAGATAGATAGATAGACAGACAGACAGACAGACAGACAGATTTTTCAGATTTATCACTGAAGGAAAAATAATTCCAATTTAAATGGATGGACTACGCTAAATAAAAAACGTCATGTGATTGGCCGTGTGGAACAGTGGTCTCGGGAGCATGACGCTGTTGTCCTTAGCTTTCATTACAGGTCTAATGATGCTCTCATAGCATTATTGAAGCTAATGTCCTCTGTGTGGCCAGATATACAGATGTATTTACTGCATTCATTTGGATGCACTTAAGGGTTTGTCTAACTGATCTGTCACTGGGTTCTGGTCCGTGGTATAAAGACAAGAATGGAAGTCGATATTGACAGATTACAACTGATTCTTCCTCTATGAATGTCAGAAAAATTTCAATATGCTAAATATTACAAACCTAGCATTAACATATTGATTTAATTCAAATGTTTTCATTCATTTTTAGTTTGTTCGGCATCCCTAAAGACATATTATTATTGTTTTGTCTTTGTGTCTTTTTGACACTTTATTGACAGGTCCATTGAGAGAGCAGACAGGAAACAATAAGAAAAGGAGGGAAAGGGATCAGGAAATCACCCGAGACTTGAACTTGCATGTTAATTGTGCTTGCACAGTCATGCATCACTATTTCTATTGCTGATTTTTGATTTAAACAACCTCCTAACACTATATATTAAACTTCACCATCTAATTCATCCAGCCAAAGGAAGTCTCACGCTTCTGTCTTGATGCATCAGATGTAAGGCTGCAACAGTGAATACAGAATAAAGACTGAAATTCCATTTGTAAACTTGATTTATTGGCATCGCGTCTGCAGTCTACATCCCTCATTAATCACTTTCTCCACAAGGAGACCCTAGAAAACAGCGATTCAGATCAAATAAAGCTGTTGAGGACAGAGGGCGAGAGGTCACTGTTACCGCAGTTAAATGTGAAAACCAGAGGGTTCACCATACATCTATAGGTGCCGCACGTATGTTCAAACAATGAGGAGAGTCCTAATGCGAGGCCAACAGCAAGCTAACATCATATTATTGATTATGAGAATAAATGACGACCGTGCAATCTAAAATTAGTGTTCAGGACGATCGTCTCTATGGTCTTGGTGGACACTTATGCATGTAAACATTTCCTGTGTTTATGCTTTAAAAGAGTCTGGTTTATGTCACAAGCAGCTCTCAACAATTGACCATGTTTGTTCATTATTTTGGCAGTGATGTATTTAATGCAGAGAGTGATCCGGTTAGCAAAGGGATTGAATCGGGGTTAAGACGAGGGTAAACCACAGTAACCCGCAGAGGAATCCTTACTGATATGTTTAAAATATACTATTTAGATAGATCATTCTATTGATCTATCTCTCTATCTATCGATCAATCAATCTAAAAGGAAATCTATCTATCTATCTATCTATCTATCTATCTATCTGTATATCTATCTGTCTATCGATCTGAGTATCTGTCTGTCTGTCTGTCTGTCTGTCTATCTATCCATCTGTCTATCTATTGTTCTGTCTGTCGTTCTATTTATCATTATATCTATCTATCTATAGATCGATCATTATATTGTTCTATCTATCTCTCCATCCATTCCAAAATGGGGGGTTTGGCAGTGATGCCATAGTCGTGGCCTAATGGTTAGAGAGTCTGACTTGTAACTCGAGGTCTCGGGTTCGAGTCTCAGTACCTGCAGGGATTGTCGGTGGGGGGAGTGAACGTCCAGTGCTCTCTTCCACCCTCAATACCACGACTGAGGTGAGATCCTGAGCAAGGCACAGAACCCCCAACTGCTCCTTGAGCCCCGCAGCAAAAAGGGCAAAAAAAAGTGTGTGTTCACAGTTTGTGTGTGTGTGTGTGTGTGTGTGTTTGTTCACTACTAACTGCTGTGTGTGTGCACTTGGATGGGTTAAATGCAGAGCACAAGTTCCGAGTATGGGACACCATGGCTACATGTCACTTTACGTTTTTTTTTCTGATAAGAATCATTTTTTTCTTTTAATTTGTGATGAACATTTTAATAATCTAAATTATTTTTTTTATGTAAATTACTTTTTATGGAATGGAAAGGTTCCATGGATGCCAAATGTTCTTCATGGAACCTATAGAAATGTGTCCTGAAAGATTTTGTAGAATATATATTCTATAATATTCCCATTACGATTTTTTTTTTAAGATCAGTTCCCAATTTTAATTTAAAAAAATGTATACAAATTCTGTGCACGTCTTTTTGCATTTTCTTATTGTTTTTTGACTTGGGAAGTCATGCTGGGTTTATTATTTCATATATTGTTTCAGCTCTATCTCTTCTTTGACCAAAAAGTGAATCCATGCGAACAAATATCCAAAGAATGAATCACCACAAAACATTTAACGCAAATCAAATCTGATCGTCTTCCTGTCTGATGGAAAGTATTCAGACATATAAAACGAGGCGAGGGGTGAGACTATCCAAAGAGACACAAGACCGCGCAAAGGAACTTAAAAAGAAAACACCTGGTCACTTTGGGAGGTTTGACTGGAGGTATTTCAGGACCCCGATCAGCGCGCGCATCACATCTCTATAGCACATGTAAGTTCCTTTGATTTTATTTAGGCTACTTAGTTGAACATTTAGACATTTTTTACTTACGTGCATGTTGCATTCATTTAGTTTTATTTTACATTCACAACATATATGAACAGAAATTGCACGGCGTTTACATTAATTAATGTTCACAATGAAACGGTTTAAGTCAATTTTTTTGTGCAATTATAGTATTATAATAAAACACCGCAGCCTTGTAACAAAACAGGACAGAATTTCGCTGGACGAAACTAATTAAAAAAAAAAGGTTTGAAGCAAAGCACAACCACTTTTAATACATAAAACAGAAAGGTCTTCCATAAAAACACGTTATAATGTATTCAAACAGCGAAAACAGAGTGCATATTTTGACTTCATTTTTCAAATCCATTCAAACGTCTTTAATATTGCATTCAAGATTCAAAATTCAATGACATTTGGCGTTTTATTTAGTGTGAAATAACCGCATGTATTCATGTATGCACAGGTGTAAAGCAATGCTCGTGAGGAACGGCTCTCAGCTTTTGCTCTTCATAACTCTCTCCAGTGTTTTATATGCCCGGACCTTAAGTTTACCCTTCGCCTCCATGAGGTAAGAACTCTATCTTCTTAAAGTACGTGAATAAAACCTAATTCCTAACTCTTTTGTGATGTTTTGCTATATTGGAATATGCGCGCGCAGGTAAATCCACGGGAGCACAGAGAAACAAACAAAGAACGTTTTTTTTCTTCATCTAATTAGATAATTAAGTAAATGATAATGTTGCCATGCTGTATGAACCTACCAAATCCCTATATAGACTATACATAGTTTCTAGTTTAAATTGAATTTATACTTGCACAGTGTAGTTTTAAGTTGATTTAACTACCTCCAAATGGTTAATCGTTGGTTTGCTCTTAAAGAAACCTATATACTTAATATATAGAATCAAAATAAATTGTGAGACCTTCAAACAGTGTAAGAAGCTTTGAAAATGTTTCTGTTATTTAGCTTAACTATGGTATTTTGACGGAAACTATGGCTGCCATTGTATGTTTTTTTGTTGTTGTTTTTTTGTGAGGGAGACTGTAGACATTGCAAAAAACAAATCTGATGAACTATAAGAGCAACTGTGTCATTGACACTGGATTCTAGAGAGTCACTTGGTTCTGTGTCTGTGTGCAGAGATACAAGACACGCAGACGGGCTCTTCACAAGCGGATACAGTAAACTTCTAGGACAGTTATCTGCCAGACGGTACCTGGAGTCATTGATCGGAAAGCGGGTCAGGTACATGAATCTTTTTTTAGTGCCGTTTCCATAACATGATCCATAGCCCTGCTGAAACCAGCTTAAAGAACTCCTTCTAACCCATTAAACCAGATCTGAACAGCTTGAAGGCGAGCTAAAACCAGAAAACCACCTCCGACTATTTTAAGATTCTAAGCTTCTAATGGAGATAGATTGATGAATTGAATTTGGTATGTTTTGGTAATCATTCAATCTAATCAGAGATTTTAGGCGCAAAGAAAGTTTTTGTCTCCTGTAAGTGGTGTGATTTTGCAGCTATAACACGGATTGCAGTAAATAAAGTAAATCTGTATTTGCATAATGGTTTAAATATTTATCCATAAACAAATTCTCAAAATGGCCATAGGATTGCATGCCATATAATCCTATTACGAATGGTCGGACAAATGAATAAAGATACATGTGAAATGTTTAGTTGGTGATCTCACGTGTCAGAATGAAATGACAGTTTGAATTATCATTGAATATCATTCCTCCTTGTGCTTGCTTTGCATCTAAAATCTGTAATTATACTGAAAGATGACCAAAACATGAATGCAATTACACCAATAGATAGATTAATAGATAGTAAGGTACACTCTTAAAAATAAAGGTGCTTCAAAAGGTTCCAGAGAAGGCGTTATATAAGACGTCATGCACTAAGATGGGACTCTGGTTGCCAAAATTAGGCTTGTCTGTCAAATTACATTTATTTTGAGTCATCCTTTGGCCTGGAAAAATAGTTTGGTTTGCACCAATTAAACTATAACTGATATAAATATCTGAAAGAGACGGATGAGCGGTCAAGGCTCAAAAATAAGGATGGTCTGTTGCCAGTTTGAGAACGTTTTGTGCTGATCAGTCAGCTGTGTTGTCACTAAATATGATGTTTGTTTATTATGTGCACAATAAACTGCAAGCTATTTTATTAAGGTTGCATTATAATGGAAAAATATAGATTTTCTAGTTATTATTGGAAATACAAACCTTTTTACAAATATATATTTAAAAAATAATTAATTATAAAAAGCAAATAAATTATGAGTTTTTAAAAAACATTTTTAAAACAATTTAATATTATTTTAATTATTTAGGTCAATTATTTTGGTAAAGATGTTAAACATAAATGTAAATTAAAAAATATAAGATGCATACACATTTTAAAAATATTGCTATTTTTGTAAAAAAAAAAGTTTTATTATTTATTTTGAATTTTTCTTAAATACATGATTGGTTGTAAAACAACTTTTAAAAAACAACTAAATAAATTTAAAATGATTTAGGTAAATTATTTTTGGTTGTAAAGCGTAGTTTTAAATGATGTAAATCGCAGTTTTAAATGGAAAATATATTTAAAAAAATTCAGATAATTTGTTTATTTTTGTAAAAAAAAAAGTAATGATTTATTATAAATATCTCATAAATGATTGGTTGTAAGAAAATAATGTAATAAGTGTCCACTGAAGGTGAGCGTTGTGAGAACCCAAGTGCAGTTTTATTATATCCCAAAATTGAGCAGATAAACAAGAAACACGGGGCATGGCTTGATAGGCAAAACAAGAACATAGATATGGACAGAACTCACCAACAGTTATTACAGGCAACAAAGCTAGACAATGGGCAATGAAACGTGAGGGCTATATATATCAAACAAATGGGGTCACATGGCACCATCTAACCAATGACAGAGATGAGCTGAGGAACAAGAAGCAAACAGAAGTCAGAACAAAAAACTACATGACAAAACAATAAACCAATGAAAGCATGACACGTGAAGGAACAGGGAATCACATGACTAACAGAGGACATGACTGTGGCCTAAACTACAAAATGAAAGACATGAAAACATGAACATAAACCTACAATCAAAACCAACCGTGACATATCCCCCCCTCTAAGGGCGGCTCTTGACGCCCTAACAAACCACCCAAAACAAACAAAGAGTCCAGGATGGTGGAGGACTGGAGGTGGTCCAGGGGGTGGGATGGAGGGCCAGGCCCGTGCAGGGTAACTGGACCTGGATCATGACATGGCAGACCTGGGCCGTGAAGCAGTGGCGGACCTGGACCGTGGAGCAGAGGTGGGTCTGGACCATGTATTAGTAGAGGACCTGGTCCGTGGAGCAGTGGCGGAGACCATGGTGGAACCAGCAGAGCAGGAAGCCAGGGCGGAGCCAAAGACTACCAGGGCGGAGCAGGCGGAGCTGAAGACAACCAGGGCGGAGCAGGCGGAACTGAAGACCACCAGGGCGGAGCAGGCAAGACTGAAGACCACCAGGGCAGAGCAGGCGGAACTGAAGACCACCAGGGCAGAGCAGGCAAGGCTGGAGACCACCAGGACGGAGCAGGCAGAGCTGAAGAGCACCAGGGCGGAGCAGGCGTAACTGAAGGCCACCAGGGCGGAGCAGGCAGAACTGAAGACCACCAGGGCGGAGCAGGCAGGGCTGAAGACCACCAGGGCGGAGCAGGCAGGGCTGAGGATCCCCACGGTGGAGCAGATGACCACCAGGGTGGAGTCAGCAGAGCAGGAAGCCAGGGCTGAGCAGGTGCCCAAGGTGAATCCTGCGGAGCAGAAGACCACCACAGGCAGAATATCCTTGAACGGCCTCAGTGGCCATAGCATGACTGGCAGAGAGTTTGTGAACGGCCACCATAGCCACGACATGACAGGCAGATTTCAAATCCTTGAAAGGCCGCGGTGGCTGTAGCATAACAGGCAAGGGGTCCAGGGATGACCTCCTTGGCCATGACTGGACAGGCAGAGAGTTCAGAGACGGCCTCTTTGGCTGTGACATGACTGGCAGAAGGTTCACATGTGACCACCATGGTCAAAACAGGACAAACAGGAAACTCACAGGCTGGCACCAACACAGGACTGAGTTCTGGGAATTGAGCAGGCTCTGGAACAGATTCATGGACTGGAGCAGGCTCTGGAGTCCAATGAAGGCGAGCGTTAGACCGTTGCCTTACATCAAGTATAAATTAATGTACCAGAAAGCTCTGCATAACTCGCCATTGTATTTAATTGGGAATTTCGCTCTTCACAACTATGTAGGCGGTTTTGATGTTGCTGGTGTTCATTGATAGTGCAGAGCTCAATGTCAGCTGTGAGCTGAAAACCTTGTTTCTCAAACTTCAGGCACATACAGTACATGTGTAATGAGAGACCACTGAAGGCGAGCATTGTGAGAACCCAAGTGCAGTTTTATTATATCCCAAAAGTGAGCAGATAAACAATAAACACTGACTTGACTTGACATGGACAGAACTCACCAACAGCAGTTACAGGCACCAGAGCAATGGACAATGAAACATGAGGGATATGTATATCAAACAAATGGGGTCACATGGCACAATCCAACCAATGACAGAGATGAGCTGAGGAACAAGAAGCAAACAGAAGGCAGAAAAAAAAACACATGACAAAACAATAAACCAATGAAAGCATGACACATGAAGGAACAGGGAATCACAGAGGACATGACTGTGGCAAAACTACAAAATAAAAGGCATGAAAACATGAACATAAACCAACACCCAAAACCAACCATGACAAATAAAAACAAAATTATAATATATATTTTGAAATTATTTAGGGAAATTCTTTTTTGATAATGGTGTAAATCAAAATTTTAAATGAAAAATATAAAAACAACAACAAAAAATATATATTTAGAAAAGGTTAGAAATTTGAATGGAGTTAAAGTTCATGGAGGGTTAAAGTTCAGGCTAGTGCAAACCTTTGATTCTTAATAGGATGTTTGAAGCATAATAGTAAAGAATATAGGTTATGGTCAGTGAGTGCCTGTTCTTTTGATTGGTTTGGCAGGTTGTTAGTGCTCTAGTGCTCTACTTGGCTGAGGTAACTAAAGAGGCTGTTATGTGTTCTTCTGTGACTGCTTCTTTTAATGCATGTGTCATTTTAGCTCGTCGTTTGTAATCCTTGTGGCAGCTGCACATCCCGTCTTCCTGGAAAAGCTAGAAATCAAGCTGAATGGAACAATAACAAACAATCTGAGAAAATATGCACTAAATGTTTTGTGTGTGCTCTTGATTTGTCATATTGGATTTATATCATTACAGCAGTAAGTAGGAGGAAATGCAAAAACAAAGATGACTAATCGAAAATCACTCATGCACCTAAGAGTTGTATTTGCATAATGTGCAAAATATATATATATATGTTAGTGCTAACGATGAGTGTTCATTTATCCATGTTTAATGGCTCATATAGTGTGATATAGGAGAAAATGGAGCTCATATTCAAGGAGGAAAAAACACGTCAATTTTATTCAGAGGCCCAAACTGAGCAAAAATATGCAACTTGGTGCAGATTCTGATATTTATGTCCAAAAATTAAGATGAAATTCTGAGCTTGTAATGTAAATCAATGAGATCTTTAAAACAGTACAGCAGATACTTACAGAAAATGATATAAGTATCAGTTGTCACTCTATATCTCCCAAGTCTTAATATGATGATATTTAAATGCTTAGTTTTATGATCAAAGCTCTGCAGTTATAATGCATATAATGCAATGCAATACAATGATAATTGAGAGATGAACAAGTAAACATTCCTCAAAAGATGGATGATCGAAATGTTAAAGGTTCTTTATGGAACCATTTAGACAAAAAGGTTCTTCTGTGGCATCGTGAAGCACCTTTATTTTTAAGAGTAAAAATGCATGAATGTAAACTGTGAATTCATGTCTGACATATTTCTTTATGGGATTTTAGTGATGATTTGATGGAAGACCAGGCGCCGATGAAGCGTCATTCAGACGCAATATTCACAGACAACTACAGCCGCTTTCGCAAGCAGATGGCGGTGAAGAAATATCTCAACTCCGTTCTCACAGGAAAGAGAAGGTATTAAGCACCAGCACGTTGTTGCTTTCGTAGGTTTTACCAAACGTTTTACTCAAAGATGTTGCTAATACTCTGAACCAAAGAACGTGTTCTATGATGTTAAGCAATAAAAAGGGTATTTTACTAGTGTTTTTCCTCTCTTCAGTCAAGAAGACCCACCTAGCATGCAGGAGGAATCAACTGGAGGGGAGACCACATATCGGGAGAGCTACGATGACGTCACTGTAGACCGACTTCTGAATCATATACCATTGGTACGTTAGATGGAGACGTGCATATGGCTTTGTATTAATAAAAGTGCTTGCAAACTGGTAAATAAAGTTCATTTAAATACTGATCTTTTCTCTTCTAGCCTCTCTGAGGTCAGTTTGAAGACAAGAAAACAACTCTCCGAGACCATCATCATAGGTTTTCCATTTACACAGTCTAGTATAGGACATCAGCATACTACTAAAAGAACGTGTTGAAAACGAAAATTGTGGTTACCTATGACGTAAATGTTTGCACTGTACATAGAAAATAAACTTTGATGAGAGATGTTAGCTTGAAGATGTACATAGTGTGCTTTGGCCTTGGAAACCAATTTGCTTTGACATGTTTCCTGTAAATTGTAGATCAATAAATGCATTGAAACAAGCCCCGGACTGGTACAATAAGAGAAGCGCATATTCAGACCTGAAGACTGCTGATTGGATCTCGAGTGATGAAGTAACACTGTCGCCGTGCATTTTGTAAATGAATTATTTTATAAAAATATTTATGTTTCTTCTGTCTGAATTCTAACTCTAGAGGGATCATTTGGGTTCGGGAGGGTCGGGGCATTGGAAATCTTTATTTTTTGCCATTCAAAGGATAATAAAAGTTTGAAGAGTCATGAAATGCTTGACTGCGCTCGACTTCAATGTTGCAAAACAAACTTTAGCCATGAACTGCAATTGATTTATGGTCAGGTTTTGAGTCTCAATTATATTTCTGTGACTTGAAAATACACATAAATTGGACTATACAGGTGCAGAGAAAGACACAAATATAACATTCAAGATTGTATAGCACCCAATTTTTTACAAAAATATGGTAAATTTACGGTACAGACAGTCGGTTTAATGATGTACGAGTGTCAAGGGATGATGCGGTTATGATGCAATATGTAGACGTATACAGAAGGGATTGTCTGCTCTCCATTGAGATGCGAATCAAACAGCATAAGGTGTGTGATTGAAAACACATCACGTTTCGTGAGTGTTACATACAGTTACACCCTTATTTTGAGAACTTCCAAAGGAAACGGTCATTAGTATTTGCTGGCCTGTGACTCAGCGTATCTACAACGCGTTGAAGGCAGCTCTGGAAATTTGAATCATAAATGTCAGAGGATATGGAATGCCAGAGAAGGCGTTATATAAGACGTCATATTTGATACTCACATTTGAACATGATTTTTCTAAAAAAAAAAAAATGATGTATGGATAATCAAGTAAACCTAAGTTGCTTCGGTCCAGTAAGTGTTCATCTTCAAATATTACTAACAGAATAAAAGTTATTCTTCCGTTTACTTTATAAAATTCAGTAAAGATTTCACAGCAAAAAGACACGTGAACCACAAGCTGAAGGTAGACGTTTGGACAAGGTCTTTTACTTGCTAAAAAAAGTCTAAACTATCAATCAGATGACAGAAGGCATGTAGTAGATTGTGTGCAACAGGTTTTCAGCAAAGTTTTAATCATGCTGGAAATTTAGAGGCCTTAGAAATTCATGTATCAAATATGATTTACATGGATAACACTGCTAAATACAATGATCAGACGTTTTGACAAAATACTAATTTCTTGGTCTTTTCTCGATCTGATTCCGTAGAACAACAGGTATGATGTAAGGACTCTGGTGACCATGCTTAATCTTTGGCTATTGAATTGTTGTGGTGCAAATCAGATGCTATGTGATTTGTCCAGGGCCGTGTGGAGAGGAGCAGCTCATTAGCTCTCATTACTGGATGGCTAAATGGGCCTGCTGACCACAGCAGGTAAAAATAGATGGATAGACTCTACACTGACCAGCTCCGCTCTGATAATGGGTGCATTACCACTTAAAGTGATTCAGCGTAGAAATGGCTGGCCAGGAACTACTTGTTTTGAGCATTAGTGAGCGTGTGTGTTTGTGCATTGCACTCTTTCCAACATGGACACGTTTATAATCAGTTGTGGTACTCTGAGAATTCAAAGAATACCATGGTAGTACTATAGGATAATTTCCAATAAATAAGTAAATAGATGACATTTTGTTGAGAACATTTATATATGTACATACTCCAAGGTTCAATCATGGCACATTTCCATGTTTATGTTTTTGAAAGAAGTCTCTTATTGTAATCGAAAATACAGAAATTTTTTTGAAAAATTGTGAAATATTATTGCAATTTAAAATTGCTGTTTTCTTTTTGAATATATTTAAAAATGTCATGCAATGCTACATTTTCAGCATCATTACTTTAGCCTTCAGTGTCACATGATCCTTCAGAAATCGTGAAAATATGCTGATTTGCTGCTCAAGAAACATTTTTATTAATAATTTTGAAAACCACACTAACGTCCTCGGGGCTTGCCACACTAACGATCAATCTTTTGATCAATTAAATGCATCCTTCTTTGATAAATAAAAGTATGAATTTATTTAAAAATTAAAATAAATATAATTAAACTAACCTAATTTTTAAGGTTCGAATAGAGCACGATTTGTGTTTCTCCAGATGAGAGCAGTTCCTTAGAAAAAAATTTGAGGTTTAATCGTTTTAGTTATCATGCACAAAAACAAATCTTAACAGAATTATCCATCCACGCAAGACCGCCAATAGCTATATTAATCCCTGCATGTTCTGCGAATCATTTTATGCTAATACGCACACGCTATGGGGGAGGAAAAGGACTGTAGAGATGAAATGTACGCTAGTGCAGTGGTTCCCAACCCTGGTCCTGGAGGCACCCCAACACTGCACATTTTGCATGTCTCCTTTCTCTGGCACACCAATTTCAGGTCTTGGAGTCTCTACTAATGAGCTGATGACCTGAATCAGGTGTGTTTGATTAGGGAGACATGCAAAACGTGCAGTGTTGGGGTGCCTCCAGGACCAGGGTTGGGAACCATTGCGCTAGTGGATCACAACAATAAAGGACAAACAACATCTGATATGGAAATGACTCTTAATAACTAATTTCAACATCTGTCCTGTGCGCTTCTAACGTGTTCCTGCTGAATCTCTGGTGAACGTGACTGAGTGTGAGCAGCAGAGCGGATCGGCTGTCTTGGGGCCGGTGGCGGTGCTGGTTGAAGACCATCGCAGTGACAGGAGGCGACCTTTAGACTCCTGATGTACGGTCGTGTGACTGATGCCAGTCATTCATAATAAACATCACACATGCCCCTCGTTTCACAGGGAATGGCTTGAATAGGACACGTGTCTTTTTAAGAAAACTGAAGGGCTGAAGAGAGATCTTAAAGTCATACACTGTAAAAAGTGGCAACCTGCAAGTGTTACCCTAAAGAGCTACTGCAAAATAATGTATTTAGTTGATTCAATGATGTTAAATAGTATTTTTACTAAATGGTGTAGAAACAATTTTCACTCAAAAATTCCATTTTACAATAATACATTTTACAATTAATTACAATCAAGCAAGTAACACATTTAATTAAACATGAAATTTTGAAGTAGAGAGAATAATAGTAGGTCTACTTCCTTGTGAAACATACTGCAAAAATCTTGGTTTTATTTAAAAAAAAAGTTTACAAAAATTCTGTCATTATAGTGAATTACCATAACTGTAGAGTCAGCACCATTTATTTATTTACAAATACGAATAATAAAGAAAATAAGAACTGACCAAGTAATATACACTCCAAGAATATTTAGGCCTAAATCTGAGATTTATATGTCTGAATTGCATTTAAAATTTCCATACCTTTGCAGTTTTAACATAATCAACTTAATATGAATCATATTTTTCAATTGTGCATGAATGAAACAGGAAAGATTTCTAATAATTCTAATTTTTTTAAATACACAGTAACCAGGTTTATATATTTATCATCAATAAATCTAATTTGTTTCAATCTCATACATATTGCTTGTATAAATATTGAATTATTTGTATTGCATACTGAATATTGCTTATTCTTCAATAATAAGCAATAATAAGTGATATTTTACCATTTTCATACTTTTTACCAGAACAAATGTAATTGTTTTCACAATCAACAGATTTATGCTGATTCTAAGCCATTTGAACAAATGCATTTTGAAAATATTATTTAAATAAAATCAAATAGATGCAAATAATGTTAATAATAAACTATGCTATGGTTTTTCTGAGTACAGAAATCTTACCCGTTTCATTTATGCATGACTGACAAATATGCATCACAGTAAGTTTATTAGTTTATTTTAAAATGGTGTAATCCAAAAGAATGGACATTTATAGGCAATTCAAATGCATAAATCTTAACTTTTTAATAGATTTTCTAATCTTTTTTTTATTTTATTATTATTATTATTATTTATTTATATATTTTTATTTTTTTTGAGTCTGGTAAATTAGCCTAACAGTACAATTTTTATGGCTGCAAAACATGAATATAGAATGTGCAATCAATCCCATGCATGCATTTATCAGCATTTAGTGAGTCAGAACTATCCGTTTTATAAGACCGATTTCATAATAATGTATTCTTTAGTGCCAGTAACCTAGTTCACATATTTTCAGTGAACCCACATGCCCTTAACTCAAATTTAAACCCAGATGTGACTAAAATAATGTTCAAATATCACCCACACGCACACTCAGAACAGTTTGCATCTAGTCTGAAAGGTTAATCACAGCGGATAGCGTCCAACAGAAAAATTAGATTTGTATTCCCAAGCAGAATGGCTCATAATAAGTGATATGTTTTGTGTGTGTGTGCATGTGTGTTTCAGTGTAAACACCTGTTTTGCTCTCCGTATCCTCGGCTGATTTGGAGCTTCATTTGTACAGACCGTGGTTTAATAAATCAAAATGGAAATACAATAATATACGGGCGCAGAGCTTTACTCGTCCAGAAAGGTCAGCTCTGAGATTAATTATACTGTGAGGAAGACCTTAATGATGGAATATTTCTCAACGACACAACCCTGCTTTTATGATCCCAATCCTAATTCACTCCAGGCTTATATTTTTGTCTTTTTACATGCAGCAACTACAACCCCAATGGTGAAATATTCATTTGCAAATGAATATGAAATATTCAAGCGTCTGCTAAATGACTAAATGTAAATGTAAATGTAATGTAAATGCAAATGAAGGAATAAATGTAATGAGGAATCCGGAAGTGACATTTAAAGGAATCATTCACCCAAAAATGAAATATTTATTCACCCTCAGGCTATCCAAGATGTAGATGAGTTTGTTTCTTCATGGGAACAGATTTGGAGAAATTTAGCATTATATGACTTACTCATCGTTGGATCCTCTGCAGTGAATGGGTGCCATGGGTGCCGTCAGAATGAGAGTCTAAACAGCTGATAAAAACATCACAAGTAATCCACACCACTCCAGTGGTGTTTTTGCATTTGTTTATAACTAACATGCAGCTTTTCACTTCTAAAGATGTTAAAATATGTGGGTGGTGATTTTGATGTGAGAGGACAACAGGGGATGTACTTTTTCACTGGGGGAAGCGTTAATATGGATTATATTTTAGCAGGAAGCAACGGTTTGAAGTTTAAAAAGCCGTAATGATGGATTTGTTTCTTACAAACATGCAGCTTTTCACTTCACAAGTCATTAACTGATGGACTGGAGTGGTGAGGATTACTAGTGGATGATTGTGATGTTTTTATCAGCTGTTTGGACTCTCATTCTGACGGCACCCATTCACTGCAGAGCATCCATTGGTGAGCAAGTGATGTAATGCTACATTTCTCCAAATCTGTTCTGATGAAGAAACAAACTCATCTACATCTTGGATGGCTTGGGGGTGAGTACATTTTCAGCAAATTTTTACTTTTGGGTGAACTATTCCTTATATAGCCATAGCCATATTCAGCCTTTTCTCCTGAGGGGAGTTATGGGAAATGACCGCTTGTCTCTGGGACAGTGACAGCATCATCAACTACACACTTCAGCTTTTGAATGAAAAGACAAACAGGTCCTGTCTTTTCCGGTTCTCTGTCGAAATGTACATTTGCATTTATTCATTTAGCAGATGCTTTATCCACAGCGACATTCAAATGAGGGAAAAAAAGTCATTTATCATAAAGGAGCCGAAAATATTAGTAATGGCGCCATAGTGCATTTCAAGAGTAAATCAAAAAATCATCAAAGTGAAGCCACAGAAGAGAGGAAAGGATATTGTAATGGAAAAAGTGCCTTTATTTATGGTTATGAATTAGTTGAATGCACAGAAAGGATTGATAAAGCAAACCTGCTTTAAATGCTCAAAAATTTTAATGCCTTTCTTTTGCAGTTGTTAGCTTCTGTGAGTTTTTAAAAAGTCTACATTTAACCCAGTTTCCTGTAAATTTTGAAATTCTCACACTAACAAAAAGTACCACGTTTTTTTGACGGTCTACTGTATATCAAAGTACCATAGTAGTGCCATCTGACTCCATCATTGTACCATGGTGTTATTTTAGTATCGAGATACTATTGTAACTTTTTAAATATATAATATTATTTTGAAATTATTATTATTATTACATTTTCTGTTTTCATTTTAATTTTAGTTAACATTTTAGTAATTTTGTTGTGTATCTTTGTCATTTTTATTAGTTTGTTTTTTAATATCCTATCACATTTTTATTCATTTTTATTTCAGTTTTAATTTTAGTTATTTTAGAACTTCAAGTTAAACTAAATTTAAATGAGAAATGTTTTCTTGGCAACTAGCTGAAATAAGTTATTTTATTTAAAAAAAAATATTTCAGTTTAAACATTTATTTGACATTTTTATTTAAATATTAAGTACTAAAATCTAAATAGAATGTTTATGAAATTATTTCAAGTTTATTTCAAGTTTCATGGATTTAGTTTGAATTAACTATAATAACCCTCACCATTGTAGTTTTTGCAAAGGCATGCTTATGATTTTCATGAGCAAACAAATGTCTATTATACATCCAAGTTTTTATTTCAGTCATGTAGAAGGAAATCCAAAAATCAGTTATATTTTCAATTCTAGGTTAATTGGTATTTTTGCTTCAAGCACACAGTTTAATCCATACTTATCATCTTTCAATCAAACGTTGACATGGTTTTTAATTGCCAGTAATTAGGTTTATGTTCTCTCACAGCACAATATTCAAATTTCACAGCATTCAATCATATTTTATACAGATGTTATGATTTGAATGTGTTAAATGGATGATGATATAAGCTGATATATAGCTTATTCCTCATGCGGGAGAGCTGAATTGTTGCATTTCAAATCATAATCATTGTAATTCACATGACCAGAGTCATCAGGAAAAAAGTACTTTTGGTACTCTGAAAATAGCCATTGTTACGAGCCCAAGCATAATGGAAATGAGAAAATTGGGCATATTATTTATATGTTGTGCAATAAATTAGATATTTTCTTTGGGGAGACACTAATTGAGATTCCAGCAAGTAGTTGAGGTAATTGTGTTTAGCTGTTTTCTATCTGTGAATCACATTAGACTGAATGATTGCCCTGTTGAAAAAACCAGCATATGCTGGTTAGGTATGTTTTGACGCTGGGATGCTGGTTTAAGCTGGTCCTTTGCTGGTTTAAACTGGTCCTTTGCTGGTTTATGCTGG